AAAATCAATTTAAACTTATTGGAAAAGATTAATTTCTATCTGACCACCACACAGAATATGAAAAACTTTAGGAGTCAGCTGTCCACGAAAGTCCTTAAGATAACAGCATGATAACACACATTAATCAGTTGAATGAATGACTCCATGACTCACTCATTAAGTGACTTACCGTCCCTTACTGGTAGTTTAGTTGAGAAGTATGTTGAAAAGTATGCATTTTTCCCCTCAACATTTCTTATTTGTATATTCATAAATGCATTTAAAACATTAATCTCAAAACATTATTTATTGCAGTAATTATTGTTATTTGCAGTGTAAATTATTTAATCTGACTGGTAGCAGCCCTATAGTGTATATTGAATTTATTGATAAATTGTAATAATTTGACATGAAAGATGATGCATACATCTAAAAAGTTTAAAAATAGGCCTTTGTAAAGGTAAATAAAAATATGCAGATTTAAGTATGTAAAAGCTGATAGAACACTGATGAAAATATTGCTTCAGAATAATTTGTTTACTCCACCAAAAATCTCAGTGATGCAGTTATTTTGCAGGGATATTTTGTATGGAATATGGTCTGCTGACATGAAAAATTCACTGTATATCGTAGTAATAAATATCATTTATTACAGCAGTGATATTTTGTTTTCTTTTTTATTTAAACTAATTAAATATTACATATATGTATGTAATAAAATGTGTATTTCCATTACAGGTTTAGGTCTTAAATTTAATATAAGGTGGTTATTAAAGGTCTTAAAAAGTCTTAAATTTAACTTGTTCATGTCTGTAGAAACCCTGTTAAGTCTACTTGGATAAACTAGTAACATAGATACTACTATCCAAATGGTTTATGTCATAATTTATTAAGTATACTTTATTCTCATACAGCCAAAAGCTGGAACAGGACCTAAGCAACGCCAGGGAAAAAACGCGGTCAGACCACCACAAGCAGCCAATCAGAATCAGTCGACAAAGAAGAAGCGTAAAAAAGACACAAGAAACAAACATAAACAGGCATGGGTGGACAACATGAGAGTCAAGCTGATGAAAGACATGCAAAAAAGCCAAACCAGTGAAGGTGGAACGGATGGAAAGCCTTGATCGTTTTTTTTGGTGTGAAAACCAATTTATGTTATGTTTAAAAGCACTTACTATTAGTATGTACATATTTTGTGTAATATAAATTTGTTGTACATTTTGAAACAATCCTTACCAAATAAGAATCGAGTTTACATTTAAAAAAGTATCCTATTTTGTATTATTTTGTCAGCAGTAAATAAAAAATAAATTGCTTAATATAAAATCTAAAATAATTATTGTTGCACATATTTATCAGTAGCTATGTTTCCATCCAAATTTGCAAATTTAACTTATGCAGAAATAAGAATATTGCATAATGTGCATCAAGGAATTTATTGAGCGCAAAAGTTTTCATCTAGGCATTTCCAATCAGAGTTTTTTTTTTTTTTAAGCGATATCCCAAAATTCGCATTAAAGTTTAGTTGAGAAGTATGTTGAAAAGTATGCATTTTTCCCCTCAACATTTCTTATTTGTATATTCATAAATGCATTTAAAACATTAATCTCAAAACATTATTTATTGCAGTAATTATTGTTATTTGCAGTGTAAATTATTTAATCTGACTGGTAGCAGCCCTATAGTGTATATTGAATTTATTGATAAATTGTAATAATTTGACATGAAAGATGATGCATACATCTAAAAAGTTTAAAAATAGGCCTTTGTAAAGGTAAATAAAAATATGCAGATTTAAGTATGTAAAAGCTGATAGAACACTGATGAAAATATTGCTTCAGAATAATTTGTTTACTCCACCAAAAATCTCAGTGATGCAGTTATTTTGCAGGGATATTTTGTATGGAATATGGTCTGCTGACATGAAAAATTCACTGTATATCGTAGTAATAAATATCATTTATTACAGCAGTGATATTTTGTTTTCTTTTTTATTTAAACTAATTAAATATTACATATATGTATGTAATAAAATGTGTATTTCCATTACAGGTTTAGGTCTTAAATTTAATATAAGGTGGTTATTAAAGGTCTTAAAAAGTCTTAAATTTAACTTGTTCATGTCTGTAGAAACCCTGTTAAGTCTACTTGGATAAACTAGTAACATAGATACTACTATCCAAATGGTTTATGTCATAATTTATTAAGTATACTTTATTCTCATACAGCCAAAAGCTGGAACAGGACCTAAGCAACGCCAGGGAAAAAACGCGGTCAGACCACCACAAGCAGCCAATCAGAATCAGTCGACAAAGAAGAAGCGTAAAAAAGACACAAGAAACAAACATAAACAGGCATGGGTGGACAACATGAGAGTCAAGCTGATGAAAGACATGCAAAAAAGCCAAACCAGTGAAGGTGGAACGGATGGAAAGCCTTGATCGTTTTTTTTGGTGTGAAAACCAATTTATGTTATGTTTAAAAGCACTTACTATTAGTATGTACATATTTTGTGTAATATAAATTTGTTGTACATTTTGAAACAATCCTTACCAAATAAGAATCGAGTTTACATTTAAAAAAGTATCCTATTTTGTATTATTTTGTCAGCAGTAAATAAAAAATAAATTGCTTAATATAAAATCTAAAATAATTATTGTTGCACATATTTATCAGTAGCTATGTTTCCATCCAAATTTGCAAATTTAACTTATGCAGAAATAAGAATATTGCATAATGTGCATCAAGGAATTTATTGAGCGCAAAAGTTTTCATCTTGGCATTTCCAATCAGAGTTTTTTATTTTTTTATTTATTTTTTTTTTTAAGCGATATCCCAAAATTCGCATTAAAATAAGTGGATGAAAACATAGCTCTTGACATCCTGATGTGTTTTCTAACAGTATTTTTGGGCAGTTTTGTCTAAACTCGGCGAGAAAGATGTGGGTGTGTCTGAATCGTAAGAGACCCGCCCTACAGTATATTCTAATTTGCATACTATCCACACTAAATATAATGCAAGCTTAGAATTAGGCCATCCTTATAGAAGGCAATGTTAAAAACAGTAAAGCCAAAGCTGTCTAGACTGGTGGATAGATGTTCTCCAGTGGATTTTCAAAGTGTGCCTTTAAGCTGATATTGAGTAAAACCTATTGCGCAACTAAAGAGGAGGAATGTGCCATGGTTCACTTTTCAGTTGAAGACAGTGCCAAGGACTGTACCACAAAGGCTGCCACAGCAGTTTTAAAGATATATTAACCTAAAACTGAAGTAATAGTAACATTTAAGGTAACGGATTTAGCTAAATGCTAATGCTTACATACAGTGTCTTTTCAACATTTATTTAAAACTCTGTTCTTTATGTGTAGATTCTTGTAATTCTTAACTTTAAAATGATGTGAACTCGCATGAGATGAAGACCTTAGATTTAAAAAAATAAATAAATAAATAAAAAAAAATTGGTTTTCTATAAAAGGAGAGTTCAATTTTTAGTTTTAGTTTGAAGTTTTAGTCAGTTAGTTTTTTAATATTTCTATTTAGCTCATTTTTATTTCAGTTTTAGGTTTGGTTATTTTAGTACCTTAATTTCAACTTTTTTCAGTTTGTTGCAAAGGGCTTTTATTAAAAATAAAAAAAAATCAGTTTATTTTTATTTTTTTAGATGAAGTTTTAGTCATTGTTTTTTAGTCGATGACTGCTTTATAAACCATCAGCTAACATTCTCAAGGAAAACTCTAAATGCATAAATGATGCTTTTTTGGATGATTCAACCTCTTTCAACTTACCAAATTGTACAAAAATATCCTAAATAATGGCCGGATTTCTAAGCATTTATGATTTTTTTTTTTTTTTTGATGATGATGATGATGAAGAAAAAAATGACTTTATCACCCTAGCAAATTATTTTTTTTAAAGAAAATGTTTGTAAAGTGACAATATGTGAATATATGAAGTGTAATATTTAAAGAGCCCTAAATTTGGATTTAGATTAGTTTTTTTACATTATATTATCAGAAATATGTACAATTATTTTGAAATATGGTATATGTAATGTTAAAAAAAATGGTCATTTTAAATTTTTTGACATTGCGAGGGCAACATATATTAAATATTTTATTAAATAAAACATTAGATACACATTTATGTATTGTGTATATAGAAACATATATATATATATATATATATATATATATATAAATGTAATATATGTGTGTGTGTATATATATGTGTGTGTGTATATATATGTGTGTGTGTATATATATGTGTGTGTGTATATATATGTGTGTGTGTATATATATGTGTGTGTGTATATATATGTGTGTGTGTATATATATGTGTGTGTGTATATATATGTGTGTGTGTATATATATGTGTGTGTGTATATATATGTGTGTGTGTATATATATGTGTGTGTGTATATATATGTGTGTGTGTATATGTGTGTGTGTTTGTGTGTGTGTGTGTATATATTAGATTCAAAACTACTAAAAAACAATGTAAAATTATTATATGAATGTATATACAAAGAAATCAATCAAAAAATACTGTTATTAAAATATATAAAAATATTTTGGACCTATAGATCGTTAAATAAATGTACGTACTTAATTCATGTTACATATCATGTTTAGTGAATGATATTTTAATATGGTTAAGTGACATTTTGATTTAAAAATAAATAAATATGACATTATTTGTTTTAGGGGTGGATGAGCAAACCATAATTGATGTCCTGACCAAACGTACTTATAACCAACGGCGAGAAATCGCTTTCGCATATGAAAGGAGAGCCAAGAAGGTCAGTAAATATATGATGTGCTTCTGTATTGATGTATCTTTGTCCAGTTTTTGTAATAATACTCATTCATCACACTTTCAGGATATGATCTCAGCCCTGAAGGGGGCGCTGTCTGGCTCTCTGGAAACGGTCATCCTGGGCCTCATGAAGAGCACTGCTCAGTATGATGCCTCCGAAATCAAAGCCTCCATCAAGGTGAACTAAACATCAATGACTTTTAATCCATTTTTTTGTTGTTGCATAGATAAAATGGGAGTGAAATCTAGATGGTCAAGGTTCTCAAAAGCATAATCTGTGTGTGTTTGCAGGGTCTGGGAACAGATGAAGAGTCTCTGATTGATATCCTCTGCTCTCGAAGCAATGCTGAGCTCATGGAGATTAGGAAGGTCTACAAGGAATGTGAGTATGAGAGTATTTAAGTGCGCTCATTAGGAGCATGAGGTTGTGATATAAAACTGTGTCTCATCGCAGTGTTCAAGAAGGACCTGGAGAAGGATGTGGCTGGAGATACTTCAGGAGACTTCGCTAAACTCCTGCTAGCTCTGGTTGAGGTGGGGTACACTTTTTGTGTGCTTTAACTGATATGCGTCTGAATTGAGATCCCGAGGATTTGGGTTTAATGTAGTATTTGTAACTTCTCAAACCATGATGGACACACGACCATGTTCCACATCAGGCCAAGAGAGCCGAGCCCAGCTCCGTCATTGACTACCAGAAAATCGATGAAGATGCCAGAGTAAGTTCTTGTGGTTTATCTCAGCATTTAATTGAAACATTAATAACTGAATTTAACATTTTAGAAATCACGCATTTTTTAGAGCAACAGTGTTTAACTTCGGTTAATTTTTTTAAAACTTCAGTTAAATATTAAACTTAATTATATATTAAATTACTATATATACATATATTCATTAATTTCTATATAATATATTACATAAAAAAAAAATCTACATTTCATTTATATTATTTATTTACATTTAAAAAAAATACACACATTATAAAATTATTATAAATATTATTTATACACTATTTACATTTACTTAAGTAAACTTTCTTAAAAACTAAAATATTTATATACATTTATGTGCAATATTTATAAATTATAACAATAACGTATTATTTATATGCTATTTATTTGCATTAAGTATATATTAAACTTATTGAAAAATATATATACATTTATTCATGTACAATATATATAAATTATATATTTATATACTATTAATTTGCATTTTTACGTAAATATTAAACTTTAAAAAATAAATATATACATTTAATCATAATATATAAATTATAATTTATATACTATTAATTTACATTTAAATTAAATATTAGTTAAATATTAAACTTTTTTAAAAATGTAAATATTTGCAATATATACATTTATATACTATTTTTTACATTTATTGTAAGTAAATATTAAACTAAAAAATAAATATGTACATTTAATCATTTATAATATATAAATTATAATTTATATACTATTAATTTACATTTAAATTAAAT